ATCTTAGCGTCCATACCAACGTGTTTAATGATGCTGATCAACAATATGCATGTGTATAATTCTTCGTGGGGTCATGTATGGTTCCTTCGCTGCCTATGTTCTGAATGAAAATATAACACCCTCTGTTAAGCAATATAAGCCTAAAATGGTAATCATTTTGTACAAATCCTTTTTTGTGTCTTCAGGTCCTTCACAGAAGATGATATATTAGTTTTGAAGTTAAAAGTAGGGTATTTTTTGGCATTTTCATTTGTAAGACACCACCAGCGTTTATATGTATATTAATACGTATGTATGTAAGTAGGTGTAGATTTGAAAATATTTATTTCAACGTACCCTGTTATGGTGGTATTTTTAAGTACCTTTAAAATTAGATTACAATTTTGCACTGTTGGGGTCACAGATATTTCGTTTTAGTTAAACCATTATCCACAAGTCTAAACGTTTTGACTTATATATGTTTAACATTCACGTTAACTAAACAGAACAATAAGGGTGGCAGTCACGTACTGTGCAAATGACAATAGGATATCCATGTTATAATCAGTAAGCTTAACAATATCCTTTTTAATGTATTAGCAAAACCACTTGGAGTCCTAACTATTAATGAAAGTTATTTGTATATGTAAAAAAAAAGCAAAAGATCATTTGCTCTATACCGTCGAAAACAGTAAGTCTACAACGGTATCTTTACTACCCCTTATGATTTATTATCGATTTTCGATAGTGTAAGCAATAAGCAATGGCTTATTCTTACTTTTGGAACAAGTGAACAAACAAAAGGAATGGGAAACGAAAATAATTATTTATAGCCTATTCACACAGAGGCACACACACAACTATAAAAGTCGCTAAAGCTCGCTTCAGTGAAAGATGGAACAGGATACGCAAATTAATTCAGATCTTCAGTGTATTTATTCAGTATATTTAATGAGTCTATATGGCATATACGGTTATAAGGAAATGATCTTATCGTAAAACACTGTTTGTGTCTTGTAAAGATGAGTAAAATATAGGTAATAATTAACATAACTATTAATAAAAGACCATGAAGGTAGATAAATTCTTTAAAAAAGATAAGGCCGTTTTGATTTTTATATGTTCAAGATTGCAGTGGGCAGTTCTGCGGTAGACGATATCTTTATTACAACCCTTCAGTTCAAAAAAAAAAATGTTCACTTGTGAATCACCTTGTGAATCCCGTGGGACATGTCCTCTTGCACAAGTGAAGAACAAGTGACGCTCTATATAGAAAATTGTATGGGATGTCCGCATTTTCACAAGTGAAAATTCAAATGAAAATTTTTCGAAGTCCCACGGGATTTCACTTGTTCCTTATACTCATTTTTCGTATTGCCTGTCACGTGCCGGTGACACGTCCCAAGTGAAATCACTTGTGAAAATCAAATTTTTTCCATGAGTTTTCACTTATGAAATCACTTGCAAGTGACACGTCCCAAGTGAAATCACTTGTGAAAATCAGAATTTTCCCCATGAGTTTTTACTTATAGAATTTAAAATACATAAATTTGTATATACTTTTAAATATATTTTAATTAAATAATGTTATTTAGGTTTTCTGTTAAAGGACAATTATTGTTAGTAAGCCTAATTTTATGTTACGTTAATTTGCTTTTTACATTGGTCATCGCCTTCCTTATACCTTTGTCCGGGTCCTCCGAACCCTTGGCCAACGCTCCTGATAAAAAATTATGGTCATATGCTTAAAAAATTCGTTTTATTTGTTCATTTGCATATTTACCTTTTAGAGCTGTGTTTCACCCTTTGCAGGATTTTTATTGGCGCAAAACATTTCATCATCCACTTTCGGCTAACGGAACCCATTGAGTACCTTAATACTTTAAACTAAGATCAAGGCACAACATCTTCAACTTAATGTAACACTTACCTGACTTTATTATTTTATCTTTAAAAAACGAAAGAAGTAAATCTGCTGCGCACAATTTAAATGGCTTGCTTCCCTTTCAATAACTCAAACAGAATGAACCAAGTATTCCTCTCACCCCTTTACATGATTTCTTTTAATTTCTCTTCGCTGTTAACGCGTGCCACTGCAGCTATACCCTTTCTAAAGCGAAAAATATCCGACTACATAATTTTTACTTTTTTGAGTAAAAATACAAAATGAATTCTTTAAAAATGGTAGTATTAAAATGTTTTAAATAAATTTTAACTAACTTAATTTCTATAACTTAGTTAAAAAATTATATTGTAATATTAATGTATAATACGTAAGCATAACATTAAAAGTAAATTCAATTTACTTAATCTTACTATAATCAAATAATGTACTTTTATAAAACAATATTAGTTGTTTTTTTTTCGATATACAATAATGCTCCTAAAATATTAGGGCATTCACATGTCGCTGCGCCACGAAAATTTTTACGCCAAGACATAAGTCGCTAGCCGGACATAACGGAGAGACTCAAAAGAAATAACGGACCTGCCGAAATTTGTCTCTCAGAGCGCCGAGTGCAGGCAGATTATAAGACAAAGAAAGAGAGGGAAGCTCCGAATATCTGCCTCTATTTGTTGCACGATCGTTTTCGTAGGCAGTCTTCTACACTGCGCCGACTTCTCTGCTGACGTCAACAGCGGCACAGCGTTTTAGGCACAAAAAAAAAACCAAAAAGCTTTTTGCCTTGAGCCTTGAGCGTAATTTTATTTACGACGTCATTATGTATAGTGAGCACTTAGCAGAATTAATGTTGTTTTGCTGAACGTGACCATTCTTTACAGAAATTTTTTCTCATACTGCTAAATTTTACTCAGTATTGTACAAACAGATTTATAGTTTCCACACCGCCTTTGCACGAACACCGCCAAAGATAAAATTTCTTATTCTTTGGGCCGCGGCTACCGGCGTTCATCGAAATTCACTCGCTAAATCTGGTATTTTTTTTGGTATTTCCTTAGCTCATATGATTACCGCGCTGAAAAACCGACCCGACGAAAAGCGTTAGCCGCCTATTTGCCTCTCGCTCACTCCTATGGTTAGCTCGAGGTTTTCGTCGATGTGAGTACTAGGCTTGACAGTGCAAATTGAAACATTCACTGCGAACGGTGATAGGGAACATTTGAAAGTGGAAAGCTAAAGCCTAGTACTCAGATCGGCTAAGAGTTTCACTAGTCAAAAAATGGTATTCCTTGTAGTGGGACCGAAGTTTTCAAAGTTCACCCGCAATGCATGTAGCATAGTCTTACTGTCAAGCAGTTGGGTTTGTTGCCAAACGAAAAACAAATCAGTTGGAGAAATTTAAACAAGAAGAGTCTGCTGGTACACAAAGAAGTTAGAATAAAAACAAGGAAGACCGCTATAGTCGAGTACCTCGACTATCAGATACCCGTTACTCAGCTAATGGGACCAAAGGGAAATGAAGATATGCAAGCAACAAAGCGAGATTGAAATGCGCCAACTACCGTCGGTAGACAGCTTTAAGCGATATGGGCGTAGAGTGGGCGTGGCAAATTTTTTGGGTCAATCGATAGGTATTGACGGGAAAAATACGTTTCAGTTAAAATTTTTATTCTAGCATCAAAACTGTAGGAGCCACAGTTTTGGGCGGTTTGTGGGCGTTAGAGTGGGCGTGGCAATCTGCTGAAACAAACTTGCGCTGCGCAGGAATCTGCATGCCTAATCCCAGTATTGTAGCTTGTATAGTTTCCGAGATCTCAGCGCTCATACGGACGGACGGACAGACGGACGGACGGACAGACGGACATGAATAGATCGACTCGGCTAGTGATCCTGATCAAGAATATATATACTTTATGGGGTCGGAAACGCTTCCTTCTGCCTGTTACATACTTTCCGACGAAACTAGTATACCCTTTTACTCTACGAGTAACGGGTATAATAAATGGAATGTTCAACGAATGTTTTTATTTATGTAAATTAGTAGTTTAAAGCTTTCTTCTCGTCCCACGGATGCTTCGCATTCTTTTCCGCGCCACCGCAGTCCAGCTCCGAGTCCCAATGGGCATATTGGACCTTGAGGAAGTGGGAGAACGGGGTTGATCCGCTGATGCTGCAGGAAGTCGCCCAGCATCCTGGCAGTGGCTGGCTATGGCTTCTCCAACTGTTCCTTAGCGGGCGCCCTATTTTCCTCCTCCCTATAGAAGCCAGCGGGCCCTCCAGCTCCGCTTAAGCTACCAAGTAGCCGGTGGTGGTGGTGTCCGGAGTCCTAATGGAGAGGTCGTCGGAGACCGTTTTACTGGTGGTTCTGCTAAAAAGATATTTTTATTAGTACAACGCAATCAAATTCTTTTGGCCAGATCTTACTTTCTTTGTGCCCGGCAGGATGTCCATCTAGAGATCGAAGTCACACTCGGCATGTTCCATCCCACTGGGATTCTCTAGTGGATCTCCTCCAGCACTTCACCTATTCTGGGAATTTTCCCCTTTTGTGAAATGGCTTCCTGTCGGTGAAATCCCACAATAAAGGGCATAAGCTTGGATTTGGCGTCCTATTTCATCTGCCCTGACCTCCTAGATCCGATTTTGGGGTTTTCCTTCCATTTTTAGTTTTTAATTTTCACATCGACTTTGCACGAACACCGCCAAAGATTAAATTTCTTACTCTTTTGGGCCGCGGCTAACGGCGTTCATCGAAAATTCACTCGCGAAATCTGGTATTTTTTTTGTTATTTCCTTAGCTCATCTGAGTACCGCGCTGAAAAACAGACCCGACGAAAAGCGTTAGTCGCGTATTTGCCTCTCGCTCCCTCCTATGGTTAGCTCGCAAATTTCGTCGACCTGAGTACTAGGCCTTAGAAGCCACAGGTCCTAGATCAGCTGTTATTGGATGGTAGATGGTGGATGTGCTCTGTGCGAATCGGAGTTTCACATTTGTCAAATCGAACCGTTTCCAACGGATTGACTCTTTGGGAAGAGGATATTAGTTTTTCAAGCAGACGTGAAAGCCGATATGTGCTTTGTGTGTATAGCGTTATAGGAGGTATAAGTAAGCCGGACGGGTATTATAAGAGTTAAGGACACGGTCACATTCTGGTTCTCTTTGTTCGCTCTGAAAAATTGTGTATTCAAACATAGTTATATTGTACAATAAGTTTGGTTTGATTAAATTATAAAACTGGGCAAGCCCAAAGTATGTACACAACAATTTAATATCAATATTAAATTCTTTTTTAATGTATTGCTTGGAGTATGTGCTAAGCGGTGTGCGTTTCGTGTATGTATGCATGTTCATTAAAACATAAAAAGTCAGTGTTGACAATATTCCTCAAGTGATTGCGTTAAAGTATTATTATAAATTGTTATATTTTGATTTTATACCAAAGCATACAAAATTCGAAGAACTTATGTTTCCATAGTCTTTGTTTTTTTAAAGTTTTGTCAATGTGCAAAATTATCTACATCTTCATGCAAAGAACTGCATACTTTCTTAATGTTCAACTAGTAATTATATGATTTGTTTATTTTAGCATACAAACCTAAAGTTTTAGAAATATAAAACACAGCCAATACTTGTAATGGACAGCTCCGATCTAACTTATAATGTAACATTTTTGGCAATTCAACAAGGGCAATAAAACTATCAAAAAAATCAAAGCATGATTTGATACACTTAAAAAGTATGGTCTTTGGATTAGCATCTTTAGAAATTTAGTTAAAGCTAAAAAATAATACAATTTAATAGATACCAAACCTAAGAGGATGAAATTCTGTTAATGAGTAATAAAAGCGACGGTATGGCAAAAATAAAATATTACACATACTTCTGAAGAGACGAACGATTTAAATAACGAATATTAGCCTGAAACCCTACTACATCGAAAAATACCTAAAAAATAAGATAAAATGTTTTGAATACGTTTTGAGAAATACATTTGGAAAATATTTCCGTAAATATATATATAAAAATATGACGTTCAGATTTCAAGGATAATAAATTTGAAAAAACTAAAACCACTACCAATTACTGGAACTCCGTAAAGGAAAAAATCAAAATATAGAATTAATTTTACCTTGTTTATGCAAGAGCATAAAGTACATATAATTACTCTGAGTCTAGCCAAAATAAGAGAACGAAAAAAGTTATTCTATTATTATATAGATTCAATATAACTTATGAGTAAGTTTTCATTTTAAGTTTATAAACATAAAACTTAAAAACAAAAACAAACATAGTCAACGCACTATGGTTGGTTCTCAGCAAAAAAATAATCATATCGAATTGTCTGAGACACACGCATTAAGCCAAACTACCACATATACGTGTGAAAGTAATTTAAACACAACACCTCTGGAAAACATAAAAGTCTCTAAAGCACTTTCACCTCCAACATCACTACCTCACCTAAGAAATCAGATGATTAACCAAAATTCTACCCAGACTGGTATCACTCAAACTAATTCTCATACTTCAAGTCATCACGCATGTCGGGGCAGTGGATTGCAATATTTCAGTAGTAGCTATGGATCATCGGCAATGCTTCATGATAGTAAAGACGAATTACAACCACAGCTATCAAATAAATTTCCTAATTTCACTGAAAATGACAAAAATATAAACACTTCTGATGGTTGTGAACTTTCGGGGTCTATTCAAGGTAATAAACTTGCAATCAAATAAATTTAAATAATGGTATTATATATTATTAAATATTCTAGCAATATCTCTGCCTAATGTAACGACACTTTCCAAGAAAAACGACGTCCCCGGCTTACTTTTAGGTGCTATTTCAAGCAATTCTAAATCAAAATCGGAACCTGAATGTGAATCGCTAGTTTTATTTAACGAAACTCCAGTAATGGAGAACGACACCTTCTCCTTTCACGAGCAAATTATAATGTCTGGACAGCAAAAAAGCGAGTTACAGGAAAAACCAAAAGTACTCGTCGTTTCCCCACAACAAGTAATGATTTTATACATGCACAAGCTTACTCCCTACGAACGTACAGAAATACTCAGTTATCCACAAATATATTTTATTGGTGCTAATGCAAAGAAGCGCCCAGGAGTCTACGGCCCAAATAATTCTGACTATGATAATGAGCAGGGTGCTTATATTCATGTACCGCATGATCACGTAGCATATCGTTACGAAATGCTTAAAATAATCGGAAAAGGCAGTTTTGGACAGGTGATTAAAGCGTACGATCACAAGACTCACGAGCATGTTGCCTTAAAAATAGTACGCAACGAAAAGCGGTTTCATCGTCAGGCACAAGAAGAAATTCGGATACTTCATCATTTACGTCGCCATGATAAATATAATACTATGAACATTATTCACATGTTTGACTACTTTACATTTCGCAATCATACTTGCATTACATTTGAGCTGCTCAGCATTAATCTTTACGAACTGATCAAGAAAAATGGTTTCAAGGGCTTCAGTTTGCAGTTGGTACGAAAGTTTGCGCACTCTCTTCTTCAATGTTTGGATGCACTGTATAAAAATGACATTATTCATTGCGATATGAAACCAGAAAATGTGTTATTAAAACAACAGGGTCGTTCTGGTATAAAGGTGAGTCAAATTTTGCTTTTTAAACGACGTTGTGCAGTGCCTGATCGATTTCTGACTTCAGCAATTAGCAATTTCAGTATCTCTTGTTATCCGCAAAACAAGAGAAACCGCTATGGTCAAGTGCCGCGGCTATCACATATCCAGCTAATCCAATTATTTTTTATTTTTTTTTTATAAATACGTTTTTTTGTCAGTCCTGTAATTTTGGGTGCTAATTTAAAATATGAAAAAAAGTTATATCCATGTTACTGTAAATATACCTCTAGATCGTTCCCTCCGTCTATGGGATTGTCCAATATTATTCCTATTGTTTCCCAAAATGCCGCTTGGTGATAAATTAAATTCAAAATTCTTGCTTTAAACGATTAAGCAAGTTATTTACTTGCGCCACATATAGAACATTTGGAAGAAGATGACTTACTCACTTAAGGCGTCGAATATATTGCCATTCACCAAAGTCAGTCGTTTGTACCATTTTTATACCCTTGCAGCATAGAGTAAGAATCTATATAGAGTCGCCAATTGCTCTGCCCGAACCTCTGCCCAACCTCTGCTAAAAGCCAATTCAAGGCCAAGTTTGAAGCTAACTTAGGTGCGAAGCAACAGCAATAGGGATTTCAAAACAGTGAGCAAGAGCGGTGCAGAATGAGGTGGGAATGAATTACAAGTTCGATCGAACTTGTCAAAAAGAGGGGAAATAAGCATTTTTCGCCTAGGCATCATAGCCTCATTATCTAAAGAGAGCGGCAGAGCAATCGGCGCCTCTATATAGTTCATTACTCTATGCTTGCAGAGGGTATTATGATTTCAGTCAGAAGTTTGCAACGCAGTGAAGGAGACGTTTTCGACCCCATAAAGTATATATATTCTTAATTAGCATCACTAGACGAGTCGATCTAGCCATGTCCTTCTGTCCGTCCGTTTCTACGCAATTTAGTCTCTCAGTTTCAAAGCTATCAGGCTGAAACTTTCCCAAAAGTCTTTTTTCTTTTGCAGGTATTATATAAGTCGGAACCAGCCGGATCGGACAACTATATCTTATAGCTCCCATGGGAATAATCAAAAAAAAACTAAAAAAAATGATATCTTTGGTGTTGCTTAACATATAACCTCCTACGCTTGGAAATAACATTTTTTAATTAGTTCTGAATTTCGAATTTAATTTTATCAAAATCGGACGACTATATAATATAGCTGCCATAGGAACGATCGAAAAATTGGTGGGAAAATAATATGAAAACAAGGAAGAACGCTATAGTCGAGTACCTCGACTGTCAGATACCCGTTACTCACCTAAATAGAGATATGCAAGCAGCAAAGCGAGATTAAAATGCGCCACATACCGGCGTTAGACAGATTTAAGCGTTATGGGCGTTAGAGTGGGCGTGGGAAATTGGATCAATCGATAGGTATTGACGAGACCAATACATTTCAGTTAAAATTTTTTATCTAGCATGAAAATTGTGGGCGTAACAGGTTTTCGCGGTTTGTGGGCGGTAAAGTGGGCGTGGCAAACTTTTTTTTGGGTCAATCGATAGGTATTGATGAGAACAATACATTTCAGTTAAAAGTTTTATTCTAGCATCGGAACTGTAGGAGCCACAGTTTTGGGCGGTTTGTGGGCGTTAGAGTGGGCGTGGCACTCTACTGAAACAAACTTGCGCTGCGTAAGAAGCTCCCATAGTTTCCGAGATCTCAGCGTTCATCCGGACGGACAGACAGACGGACATGGCTAGATCGACTCGGCTAGTGATCCTGATCAAGAATATAAATACTTTGTGGGGTCGGAAACGCTTCCTTCTGCCTGTTACATACTTTCCGACGAATCTAGTATACCCTTTTACTCTACGAGTAACGGGTATAAAAATCATATCTTCGGTGTTTTTCTTATACTATTGGGAATAACATTTTGTGTATTTTTAAGAATTTCGAATTAAATTTTAAAAAATTGGACGACTCTAACATATAGCTGCTAAAGAAACGGCCAGAGAAATAAGGAAATAATTATTATACCCCTTTGTTATTTATATATTTTTTTTTGTAATTTATTTTTTTTTTGCTAAGTTTTACAGAAAATGTCTTCTATTTCAACTATCAAAGCTCATAGCTTGGCTAAAATAACACGGATTTAAAAATGCCATAGCTAATAATGTTGTGGAACCTCCAAGTCAACATTTAATATTTTTATACACTTGCAGAGGGTATTCTGATTTCCGTCAGAAGTTTGCAACGCAGTGAAGCAGACGTTTCCGACCCCATAAAGTACATATGTATATTCTTGATCACAAACAAATAAAACAACATATAATTCTAAAATAGATTTGTTAATACATACTTTTATTGCTGCACAAACTCTACATTTTCTTCTGCGTTCATTGCACGAGCTCAATTTCCTTGCAATACATGTTTATGCAAGAGTTAAAAAATACGTTCGTACGCATTTAGTTCATTTTTTTAGCATATTTATGTTTTTATTGCAAAATAATTAAACATATAAATGCCTTTAAAAGTAGCTAAAAATGAAACAAAGTATATTTTTTGGGTTTAGGGAAATTTCTTCAACAAAACAAATAAAATATGCTATGGTTCCACTGTATTATGAAAATATGGCCATTTATTTATGAAAATACGCAAAAAATACGATGATTCAGAAGATTTTATTGTTTCGGCCCTGGTTGCTGTCCTTATAACTTTGCTTGATGTACATCGTGTTAAAAAAAGACACGTGTTGCACTCAGTCATAAAGAGCATATCCATACACTGTTTTCACTCTAAGTGAGAACAATAAAAATGCTATGATATCTTCTTCTTGCCCAAAATGTATACTTTACAGCGAAGAACGAGTGCAGTATTTTTAAGAACACTACACTACTATACCCTTGCAGATAAAAAATTTTAGCTAAAATGTATTGGTCTCGTCAATACCTATCGACTGATTCAAAAAAAAGTTTGCCACGCCCACTCTAACGCGCATAACGCTTAAACCTGTCTACCGCCCAAATAACCATATATTGAGATCATGGGTAGGTGGTGCATTTCAATCTCGCTTTGCTGCTTGCATATCTCCATTTCCCTTTGGTCCCATTTGCTGAGTAACGGGTATCTGATAGTCGAGATACTCGACTATAGCATTCTTCCTTGTTAAATATGGAGATATGAAATCTTTCTCCCTGTTCATCACTTTCTACACCCAAGTTTAATGGCACAAGTCCAAATGATTGTTGGGAAAGTGAATTTTGAAAATCATGCGCGCTCTTGCACTTTCAATATTAAATATTGGGAGCACTTAATTTTAATTATTAATGTTAATTTTATTCCGCTGAATTAAAATACCTTGTTTTATACTAACCTATGGTCTGAAAGGTGTTCATAATTGATTGAACGAAGTTTTGGTAGTTTTCACTTAATAATTATAACTGCAAGGGTATACAAGCTTCGGCTTGCCGAACTTAATTTCCTTTCTTGTTTTATTTATATTTTCATGTTCTCAAGTTAAGCCCGAAATGTTTTTAAACTGACCCCATTCGTGCGGAACCCAAGCCAAAAATTCCAGTAAAATTTTGTGAGCGAGCCTTTATGAATTGTCAACGATCGGGCTTACGCACATCAGGGCTTGATTTTTGAACATTTCGAAGGTTTTTTTTTCTGGGTGTAAAATGTAAACATCGATGTTTCTTTTGCATTTTTCGAATGTATATTTCTTTTGAAGTTGCATAGTCGAGTTCAGGGTATTTGATAGTTGTTGTAGATGTTCTAAAAATTATAAACTCTTACCATAATCAATTGATCTAAGGAAAATGTTCTAGCTTTGACCGTCTGTCCGTGTGAGCCCTGTGACCTCAGAAACTGAAGGCGCTATAAAGTTGAGACTAGGCATACAGATTCGAGAGGTTCCTGCCATCCATGGGCCACGCTTACCTAAACGACCACAAACGTCATAACTCGCCCGGCGCTCACATGATTTAAGATTTTGTATAATTGCAAGTGCAGAAACGTATTTCATGCAGTGTTTGGGATCCACAGAAGACCTAGCGATAAGACCAACATAAAACAAAATATTCAAGGGTTTCAAAGTCGTATATTATAGTACGGCAAACAAAATGGAACCCAAATGTAATTGATCAACACCCTATGGGAGGGAATGTTATTTTATAAACATGTTATTCAGTCTTATGGCGGGCGCCACTGGTTTTGCGACTTGTGGCCTTTAAAAATGGGTGCGCAACTGATGCAGGCGTCGCTTTCTCTAGTCTGCATGTAAAATCGCAACCTCTAGTTTCCTTTAGTTTCCGACGCGTGGCTAGATCAACTATGTTAGAGATCATTTATTCTATGAACAATGAGTATATAAAGAAAACGTTACAGCATGGGTGACAACTAAAAGCTAAGGGATAAGAAAGTTTAGTTACTTTTACCCGTTTTCCTTATAAACTAGAGGGGTTTTTTAGGCTGCAGCTCCTAGGCTTCAATGCCGTTATTTACCACCTGCAAAGTTGCACACATCATAAAAATGCTAACTATTCAGGACTGCAATGTCATTTTGGGGCTCTTATGAATACCCATTGAACCACAAGGCTGATAGTCGCAGCTGATAAGTTAAAAGCAGTGTATAAAATTATAGGATACTGCCCGAATATTTATTTAAGCATGTTTATAAGAAAAGAGCTGTGTTCCGACAAATCCCGACGCTTCGGATCCTGGGCTTTGATAGATATTATAGATACTGCTGTTCCTAGGTAAAATTATAAAATGATTATAAACAATCGAAATATTTAAAAAAGGTACTCTTTTTTTCCTATTTTTTTGAATGTAAGGCGCTTGTGCAGTTTGAGGAGTTGAAGTGAGAGCAGCGGTGGCAAAGGCAGACTCCACTGTGTTTAAAAAGTGGTCGATGTCAGCTTTAAGGTTGAGTACAGGATTTAGCTCAATGTGCGAGCTAAAATATTTCCTATAGCACATCCAATTGGATTTATGTGAAGTCACTCCATTCGGTTGATCTTCGGATATTGGGCGACGGAGTAGATAAATCAGTAAAGGCGAGTGATCCGATGAAAGATCCGAAAGACTTTCGGCGCTTATCAGGGTCCTAGGAATGTTTTTAAATTTGCGAAGTCAATTAAGTCGGGCATTTTTTTTTGGTCTGTTGGCCAAGGGAAACGTAGCTAAGCATGTTGCTGGCTTTTATGATTGCATTTTAAACCTGCTTTCCATTTGGAGTCACGAGGCAAGATGTGCTTGGCACTGTAGTCTCCTGCTGCTATGAAGTGCTCGCCTAATGAGTTAAAAAACTGCAGAGCGAATGAGGGGGACAGTACACTGCGGCTAGAGTTGGTAACCACTATCCAGTTTTATTCTTATTGATGTGGATTGAATATAGATAGTTGCCAAATTCTTGTAGTGGTGGTGGTTAATACGGTTTCTAATCAAGATACCAGTCCCACCGCTTGCTTCACCATCGGGATGGTTTGTTGTGTAGAAACAGTAGCCTCTTAAATTAAACTTATATTTATTTGTAAGATGTGATTCTGAGACCAACATTACGTCGATATGTTTGTCAAGCAGGAATGGAGATAACTCAAGTTTATAACTCAAGCTGCACCTTTTAGTGCGAGGATCGTCTTTGGCCGATGGGTAAGCTACCCACACTGGGCAAGGGGTGTGTTTGGCAATTCATTGTACATTTTACAGGTTTGTGTGGTTCTTCTACAGTGATTCTACGATTTGAATGTAACAATTTTTCCTAAACTAACAATTTTCCTAAAATTTTCGTATAGACTGTTAATACTAACGCTTTTTGGAGTTATGGCGCATTTAAAATTATTTATTTTGATCCTTAAGTCTTTTTGGAGCTGTTTGAAGACACTGGGGTAGGTGAATCTTTCTATCGAATCTTTGTAGGAAAAGTTGATTGTAAATTTAGCGGTTCTAGCTCCTACGGTTTGGGCTATGGGCTTATCCCCTTAATTATCCCTATTTCAAATATTTATATATCTTTTGTGATAGTTAGCTTGGCATGCGACGTCTTCTACGGCGAGAGACGTGTCTTCGCTAATTTTTTATCACGATTCACACTTTTTTATTTGATTCGGTTTATTTAAATTTATTTTAATGCATTTTGAACGTTTCCAATGTTTTAATTTTCACTTGTTCTTCAATTGTGTTCGGGCTATTGACCTTTGGTTGTGTATAATTTCACCATAGCTTTGATTTGATAGCACATTTATCCCTTGAACGGATGGCCTTTACATCCTAACAATTTTTAGGGGCACGGAATCACGAGTACTGCGGCCACAAACATCACAGTATGTCGGATGTCGTTCTTATGATTGAACCCCTCCACGTTTTTTGATTACACTGGCCGGCGTCGTCCAACACTTAAGATTCTTTCGAGCTGCTGTTCGGGTCCTCCTTAAGGACAGTTGCACTCCGTGGGCGGATGCCCAAGCCTGTGGGAAAGTCGCCTTTCCTCGGAGCTGGCGGCTTCCGTCAGCAAGACACCAGAATGGATTCTGCCTCCCTTCTTCATTAGGCTATGGTCTTTTATACCAGATTAGAGCTTTTACTTGATTCACGGGATGAATCGGATTAACTAGATGTTGCCACCCCGGAGTACTCGTATCTGGTATCATTCCTTCGTCCGAAAAACTATCCTAACGCATTTTATACCCGTTACTCGTAGAGTAAAAGGGTATACTAAATTCGTCGGAAAGTATGTAAAGGGCAGAAGGAAGCGTTTCCGACCCCATAAAGTATATATATTCTTGATCAGGGTCAATAGCCGAATCGATCTAGCCATGTCCGTCTGTCTGTCCGTCCGGATGAACGCTGAGGTCTCGGTAACTATAAGAACTAGGTTATTGGGATTTGTCATGAAGATTCCTGAGCTTCTTGGTCAGCGCAAGTTTGTTTCAGCAGGGTGCCACGCCCACTCTAACGCCCACAAACCGCCCAAAACTGTGGCACCTACAATATTGATCCTAGAATAAAAATTGTAACTGAAATGTATTGGTCCCATCAATATCTATCGATTGACCCAAAAAAAGTTTGCCACACACACAGACTTCAAAGAATCGTTAATATATACGCAGATATCTCGAAAACTATCAAAGATAGAGAATCGGTATTTTAGATTTAGATTCCGTAGCCTTGTATGCAGCACAAGTCTATTACGCGAATATGCCATGCCCACTCTAACACCCACAAACCGCCCAAGCCTCTGGCGCCTACAATTTTCATGCTATATAAAAAATGTTAACTGAAATTTTAACAAAACAAATGTGTCACGCCCACTCTAACGCCCATAACGCTTAGATCTGTTTACCGCCGGTAGGGTGCGCATTTCAATCTCGCTTTGCTGCTTGCATATCTCCATTTCCCATTAGCTGAGTAACGGGTATCTGATAGTCGAGGTACTCGACTATAGCGTTCTTCCTTGTTTTCATTTGTAATTCTTGTAGCTTAAAAGTTCAAGAAGAATTTTCAAAGTACCATGAGATTCTTTCATGTTCGTTGAATGAGGCGAGTTACCATATCTACACCCAGAAAAAAATGACCTAAAATGCCGAAAATAGCCTGGATTTTAGGTAAAATTGGCCTAAATCTAGAGCTAAGTCCATGTATGGCTTAAAATATGAGACTCCATAACTTAAAACTTTAGGTCACTAATGTCCTAAAATGTGGGCAATTTTTGGCCTAGATTTTAGGTAATTGGCTGCTTAAAAATATAAGAAAACCCCGAAGCCTACATTTTAGGCATCTTACGGACAAAAAGTTGGTGCAATTTTTGGCCTGTATTTTAGGCAATTGACTGCCTAAAATTATCAGGAAACCCAATGCCTAAAATTTAGGCATCTTACGGCCTAAGAGTTGGGCCAGCATTAACCTAAAACTTGACCCCCAGCCCAATTTCTGGGCCAAACGTGACCTAAAAATTAAGTACAAATGGTAAAAATAAATACAGAGTTCTGTATTGTCTTTTATTAAGTTACCTTATTTTTAAATTATTACATGATTTACACGTTATTTGCATTTTGATAAAATGTTTAAGATAAGTTTTAGGAAATTAATAAAATCAAAATTTTTCAAGGAAAGTCAGCAAAATTCGGGCATAAAAAGGACAACAATAATATTTAAAGCAAAGAAAAATATTTAAAAAAAGATGCAAAATTAAAAATGTTTGAAGTTAGGAGAACAAAAAATGTTTATTCAAAAATGACATGCTCACATGTACAGTGTTTTTTATTTTAAGTCATTTATTAATGACTTAACCGAGGTATGTATTTCACTATCTAATGACTTCAAGGTAATTCTTGAAAAAACAACCATACTAGCTTACACGAGTCAGGATATTTAAGATCAAGAACAAAAAAAAGTTTGAAGCAAGTTTCAATTGCGCTTAAAATATTTTTAAACTTATAGTAAATATCGGCATAATAAACGAAAAATTAAGATTTTCCGATTTTCTTATTATTAGCCTTTGTATAACCACCTTACGAGCTTTTGGTTTTAGGACGGCATGCACAATTGTTAGAGTTCCAATATTAAGTTTATCTGTAAGCAAGTACTTATAAATTTGAGAGACCTAAACAGAGTAGGAAACCTTACCGTCGTCAATTGAATCCTTTTTTAATTCGAAACAGAAACCTTGTTCGAAATTGACGATGATATCTGGATATTTAAGTTCAAAATCTCTTATCTAATAAAAAATACAAGATATAATTAAAATAATAATAATAATAATAATAATAATAATAATAAATCGTACCTTGAATGTACTCTTTTAGTTTTTCGTATTTAAAGTCTTTTAATATTTGATCCATATCTAAAATGAATTTTCCATCATTTCTTGTTGTCGAGTAAGCCTACTGCGCAATACAAACTGCACGACTTTCCCAATACATATAAATACATACATATGTACATTGTACATATGTGAATGCAAAAACATTCACATACGCATTTGTAAAATGAATGTAGTATATATTACAAAAAGACAAGATATAAATAATTTGTATGACTATATTAAAAGAATTTTAAGAAAGAAACTAAATTCAGCACATGCCCAGTCGTAAATGACAGCATTCCAGCACGCGTTCTTTCATTATGAAATGGCATCAAAAAGGTGTTCCGGAAGTGATGAGTCTGTCCATTCTTTTTACACGGGTGCGGGACAAAAAAGAATGCACCCGTTGCATGCTTCTGGAAGCATATATCTGGAATGCACCTGGAAGTAACAAACTAAACACATTCTGGGTGTACTCTTTTTTAATGCACCTGGAAGCAACATACTAAACACATTCTGGGTGTATTATTTTTTAATGCACCTGGAAGCAACATACTAAACTCCTTCTGGGTGTACTCTTTTTTAATGCACCTGTAACATGTACCCAGGAATGCACCTAGAAGCATTCAAAAACGAAATATCTGGAAGTTTTCCCCAGGAATACATAAAACTGGATTTCAATTTCATATTTATTTTCATTTCAATATTCAAAAACGCAACTAATTTTTAATCGGAGTAACTCCCCTTCTGTACGGTGCTTTGGTGCTTCCTTCTTGTTTATGTACTTTTGTCATTTACGCAGTTCAGTCCTTGGTGTGCCCAATCATTTTTTCGATTCTGAAAAATATAAAGCAAATTGAATATTATATATTTTGAAATATGTGCATATACATTACAAATATACAATATGTTTATTTTGTATGTACAATTTACTTACAAATAGTTATTATTTTATTTGTTTAATATGTTTTTAGTTTGAATGTTCAGTGTACATGTACTGTGTTATTTTATTGTGTTCATATTGAACTAAATTATCTACACTTTACTTACCTGTGAAAATATTGATGTAAAATTGGTGGCAGAAAGCAACAAACTTTTTCAAATCACGTGGCACGAACTTCTCTTTTCAGAACTAAAAATGCAACTGACGAGAAATGCAAGAGACAAGAAAAACCGCTCGCTTCCTTGCATGTTCCCTTTTGTCTTTATTATTTGTTTGTCAAGAGAACAGTTCCGAAAAAAGACGATTGTAAAAAAATGCGCATCGGCAACCTTCGGGTTTGAGTTTGGTTTTTTTACATTCCCACTAAAATGCACCTGGATGCACTATATTGAAATACACCCAGATGGCACCCAAAAGACTGCCCCCAGCACGCACATTTTGCTGGGTAAATTTGCATGCGTGCTGTTTTGCGTAAAAAAGATACGACCGAGAACTATTTCTTTCGGAATACGTTCCCGAAACGGGTGTTTGGGCATGCTTCTGGATGCATTATTCTGAAACACTTCTAGAAGGCACCGCAATAGAATGCACCCAGCACGCACATTTGCCTTGGAAAATTTGCATGCGTGCTGTTTTGCGTAAAAAAGGTACGACCCAGAACTATGTTTTTTTAAAACACGTTCCGCAACTTACGACTGGGTGTGCGCAGTTGCATGCATGTATGTGTATACATATGTACGTATGTATGTGTGTAAAAAGGGAAGTTCCAGAAGAAAACAGTTTTATTAACTAACTTCATATAATATAATAATAACTATCCTTATTAACTATATTATTTACATTACTTACCTGCTTACTTATTAATAAAAACCGACCACCTTGTGGTAAAACTTTTTAAATGAACTTCACCTTGTACAAAATATCCCAGTCGTAAATGACAGCATTCCAGCATGCGTTCTTTCATTATGAAATGGCATCAAAAAGGTGTTCCGGAAGTCTGTCCATTCTTTTTACACGGGTGCGGGACAAAAAAGAATGCACCCGTTGCATGCTTCTGGAAGCATATATCTGGAATGCACCTGGAAGTAACAAACTAAACACATTCTGGATGTACTCTTTTTTAATGCACCTGGAAGCAACATACTAAACACCTGGGTGTATTCTTTTTTAATGCACCTGTAACATGTACCCAGGAATGCACCTAGAAGCATTTAAAAACCAAATATCTGGAAGTTTTCCCCAGGAATACATAAAACTGGATTTAAATTTCAATTTTTATTCTCATTTCAATATTCAAGAACGCAACTAATTTTTAATCGGAGTAACTCCCCTTCTGTACGGTGCTTTGGTGCTTCCTTCTTGTTTATGTACTTTTGTCATTTACGCAGTTCAGTCCTTGGTGTGCCCATTCATTTTTTGCGATTCTGAAATATATAAAGCAAATTGAATATTATATATTTTGAAATATGTGTATATACATTACAAATATACAATATGTTTATTTTGTATGTACAATTTACACACAAATAGTTATTATTTTATTTGTTTAATATGTTTTTAGTTTGAATGTTCAGTGTACATGTACTGTGTTATTTTATTGTGTTCATATTGAACTAAATTATCTACACTTTACTTACCTGTGAAAATATTGATGTAAAATTGGTGGCAGAAAGCAACAAACTTTTTCAAATCACGTGGCACGAACTTCACTTTTCAGAACTAAAAATGCAACTGACGAGAAATGCAAGAGACAAGAAAAACCGCTCGCTTCCTTGCATGTTCCCTTTTGTCTTTATTATTTGTTCGTCAAGAGAACAGTTCCGAAAAAAGACGATTGTAAAAAAAATGCGCATCGGCAACCTTCGGGTTTGAGTTTGGTTTTTTTACATTCCCACTAAAATGCACCTGGATGCACTATATTGAAATACACCCAGATGGCACCCAAAAGACTGCCCCCAGCACGCACATTTTGCTGGGTAAATTTGCATGCGTGCTGTTTTGCGTAAAAAAGATACGACCCAGAACTGTTTCTTTCGGAATACGTTCCCGAAACGGGTGTTTGGGCATGCTTCTGGCATAGAGTAATGAACTATATAGAGGCGCCAATTGCTCTGCCGCTCTCTTTAGATAATGAGGCTATGATGCCACCTAGGCGAAAAATGCTTATTTCCCCTCTTTTTGACAAGTTTGATCGAACTTGTAATTCCTTCCCACCTCATTCTGCACCGCTCTTGCTCACTGTTTTGTTTTTGTTTTTAATCGAAATCCCTATTGCTGTTGCTTCGCACCTAAGTTAGCTTCAAACTTGGCCTTGAATTGGCTCTTAGCAGAGGTTGGGCAGAGGTTCGGGCAGAGCAATTGAAACCTCTATATAGATTCTTACTCTATGCTTCTGGATGCATTATTCTGAAGCACTTCTAGAAGGCACCGCAATGGAATGCACCCAGCACGCACATTTGCCTTGGAAAATTTGCATGCGTGCTGTTTTGCGTAAAAAAGGTACGACCCAGAACTATGTTTTTTTAAAACACGTTCCGCAACTTACGACTGGGATGACGCGAGTGATGGCAACGATAGCATAAGAGGTTTAGCTGCGTATTGCATTTATATATCGGGTGTCGTCCACGTCTTACCTTACACGTTTCACTAGAGTAGGCAGATGTTAATAAATTAGTTTTCTTAAAATAGTACCTTAAATAATTTATTAAATAATTATAAGCAATACCATTATTATTTGGCTAGGTCCAACATCAATATGTAACAGACATATTTCGTTAAAAAGGCTTTTAGCTGTTAAATATTTATAGGTAAAATGCTTTATTTTTAAGACCCACGGTGACCCAAAATATTAGGCTGTTCGTGACCTAAAATATGTGGCAAAAAGTACAAAATTGCCAAATTTTAAAATTTGTAGGTCATGCGTGACCTAAAATTTGGTCCATATTTTTTCTGGGTGTACGGAATCAATATCACATCTGATAAGATTATGCGTACAAGTTGTATAAGCCATTATTCTACAGTTTACTAGAGTAGGGAAATTAATTAGTCGCAATAGGCAAACGCAAATTTTTATTAATATGTTTGTGTGACGAATCGATTCTTTCAATGAAGTCAAAAGCAAATTTTAATTAAGATGTTGGTGTAATTTTTCACACATCTTCATCCGAAAGTTTAATAAAGACGCGTTCAATAACGTGGGGTGGCTTGATTGCTGATATAAAGGAAGTACCAAGAACGAAGATACGAAAAACACGGGAGTACTTTCTGTTTGTTGCGCGACGTGCGTGGGTGTTTATTTGGACACTTGAAAATTATAACTAATTAAGCTTGACTTAACTAAAGCACAGCAGAGCGGAGCGGAGGCTTAGGGGAGAGATGGGGAGGGAGAGTGAAAGGTAGTTCGAGCGAGCAAAATGTGGACATCTGGAGAAAACTGCCGCTCAACACTCCCTCCAGAAATTAAAAGCCCCGTTGGCATGACCAAAGTGCATATAAAGAAAACTAAAGAAATCAAATTACTAAACGGCGTATTTTAATTCTTAGAACAACGTTTTAGTTATTTTGCCTCATCATAAAGTAAGGAAAGGAACCCTTTTAAAAAAGTGGTAAATACTCGTAACACTAATAAGCATGTCTAGTTTGTAAAATGGTTGGCCACTTTGTGACTAATGGTTCTAAATTTAAAGGAGTTAGTGTTGTGGACAGATAGAAATTTATCAAAAATCAGCGATAGTGCAATAGATGCTTTAAGCACTTCTCTTTCAAGTTAATTAATAATTAATTAATTAATATATATTTTAGTTTACAACCCTTTAATTTTGCCAAATTGACGAATAGGCAACACTGAGTATATTGTGAGGTACAACTAGTTAAGCCTTAAAAATGTGAAATTTGTTTTGAACGATTCAGTGACTGTTAGGTGACGGTTAATATCGTAAGAACTCGAAAAATTCGACAAAAAATAGAAATGTAATAGAAATGTGCCGCTTTATAGATACCGTCCAATCGAACCAAACAATCCATATTTGGGCAGAATCCATAGAAGAATAAGTTTAAATTTATTTTTCATAGCTTTGAATTGTAAGGCCTGTTAGCTGTTAGCCTTGCTCCGAAAATTTGAATTTCAGTATTGACTCCTTTCCCTCCCATTCTAGCTTTTATAGTTTCCGAGATTTCAGCGTTCATACGGACAGACAGAAAGACAGACGGGCATGGCTCGTTCGACTCAGATAGAGGTCCTGATTAAGAATATATTTACTGTATAGGCTCGGTACGCTTCCTTCAACCTGTTTCATATACCCGAGTATGTACGAGTATCGGGTATTAAAATGTCACATCTTGCAAACGAATGACGTTAAGGTTTTTTTGTCGATAGGTATTGATATAATAAATTCAATTAAATTTAAAGTTATTTTTCACCTTAAATTTGAGGGTGTAGCGCAATTTGTAAGCGCTTCAAAGGGCGTGGCACTCGGTTAAATCCAAATATTGTATAATGCCAACTTTCAGAATGTAGGACAAGCCTGATCAAAATGATTTGGAAAATTTCAGGAAGTCTCGTTCGTAGTCTTTTAAAATTGAAAACATTTTAAGAAATTGATTTTCATTTTAATAATGGGCTTTGCATTTTTGGAGCGAATTTAGATGGAACATATTGATGTGCTTTTTTTTTTATAAAGTTCTCCAATAATGGCACTGTAAAATAGATTTGAATTGACTCAGAAACTGTTTTTATACCCGTTACTCGTAGAGTAAAAGGGTATACTAGATTCGTCGGAAAGTATGTAACAGGCAGAAGGAAGCGTTTCCGACCCCATAAAGTATATATATTCTTGGTCAGGATCACTAGCCGAGTCGATCTAGCCATGTCCGTCTGTCCGTCTGTCCGGATGAACGCTGAGATCTCGGAAACTATGGGAGCTAGGCTATTGAGATTTGGCGTGCAGATTCCTGAGCTTCCTACGCAGCGCAAGTTTGTTTCAGTAGACTGCCACGACCACTCTAACGCCCACAAACCGCCCAAAACTGTGGCTCCTACAGTTTTGATGCTAGATAGAAAATTTTAACTGAACTGTAATGTTCTCATCAATACCTATCGATTGACCCAAAAAAAAGTTTGCCACGCCCACTTTAACGCCCACAAACCCCAAAACCCTGTGACGCCCACAATTTTCATGCTAGATAAAAAATTTTAACTGAAATGTATTGCTCTCGTCAATACCTATCGATTGATCCAAAAAAATTTGCCACGCCCACTCTAACGCCCATAACGCTTAAATCTGTATACCGCCGGTAGGTGGCGCATTTTAATCTCGCTTTGCTGCTTGCATATCTCCATTTAGCTGAGTAACGGGTATCTGATAGTCGAGGTACTCGACTATAGCGTTCTCCCTTGTTTTTTTTTAATTTGCTCTAAAATTTTTCGCGAGACATTGTTTCTTATCGTTTTGGCAAATGGTTTTTCTTGCCCTTAGACACAAATTGGATACAATAACAACAGAAATGAGGTCTTAAAATCACCATATAAATACCGAAAAAATCACTTCTTAAGGATTTTAGTTACTTAGATTAAGTTATATACAAATAGAGTTGATAAGTTGGGAGTCCCTTACTTAGAAACTAATATCGAGGAGAAATCTTTTTAATAAGTTTAAAGCTTTTTGCCTTCGTAAACTTTGTGATGGAATACTTTCTATAGTGTCGGAAACGCTTCCATCTACTTGTTGCATACACTTCTTAGTTTAAGCGCTATCTTTCGAGTGGAGTATTACTTTCACTGACCACACCATCACGCACTACTACACTCACGTCACCTCAGTCGCCCATAACCCTAAAGCTTGTATGGCGCCCACATAAGCATATATTGTAATCGCCGCTAAGTGGCGCCTTGCAATCCCTTGCACACCCTTAAGCTGAGTAAAGGTTATCTAATAGTCGAGGCGCTGGACTATATCGAACTTCCTTCGGCATTTATTAAAAATTCTATATTTATAACTAGCTTTTCGGTCGCGACTTTGTACGCGTTTAAGAACGTGTTTTGTCTTTTTAAAATAAATATTTTGGTTGTCTATTTTCCCCCTTTGTCCCCTTGCCCAGTTCTTCTGTGAGCATTTTGTATACCCGATACTCGTAGAGTAACGTCCGTCTATCCGTGTGAACGATGTGATCTCAGCAACTAAGAGCTAGAGGGTTGAGGTTTCAGATACAGATTACGCAGTACGCAACGCAAGTTTGTTGCGACAGAAAACGCACAAACGCTTTAATCTGTCTGCCGCCCATATTACCATATATTAAAATCGCGTAAAGCTGGCGCATTACAAACTCGATTTGCTGCTGGTTTATCTATATCTTCCTTTTGCTCCCTTTAGCTGAGTTGATTTCACGCGTTCAAGATTACATTTTTATACCCGTTACTCGTAGAGTAAAAGGGTATACTAGATTCGTCGGAACGTATGTAACAGGCCCACCCCATAAAGAATATATATTCTTGGTCAGGATCACTAGCCGGGACGATCTACAAGACAAGACAAGCTACAATACTGGGATTAGGCATGCAGATTCCTGAGATTCCTGCGCATCGCAAGGTAGTTCCAGCAATGTGCCACGCCCACAAACCGCTCCTACAGTTTTGATGCTAGAACAAAAATTATAACTGATATGTATTGTTCTCATCAATACCTATCAATTGCCACGCCCACTTTAACGCCCACAAACTTCAAAAAATCGCAAATATGAACGCGGATATCTCGGAAACTATCAAAGATAGAGAAATGGGATCTCAGATTTAGATTCCGTAGCCGTAGATTCGTCGTAAAGTATGTAACAGGCAGAAGGATGCGTTTCCAACCCAATAAAGTATATATATTCTTGATCAGGCATTAGCCGAGTCGGTCTAGCCATGTCCGTCTGTCCGTATGAACGCCGAAATCTCAGAAACAATAAGAGCTGGAATGTTGGGACCTGGTGTGCAGATTCTTGGGCTTCCGGAATGCCACGCCAACTCTAACGGCCATAACACTAAAACCTTTCTAGCGCTCACATTTTTTAATATTTTGTAAACCCATCTACATTTCTGCTGCAATTCAATATGCCTTTGTTTAGCTGTATGATTTTGATAAAGCGTGTCGGATGAGAAAAACGCAGGTATATTAAATGGCAGCCCTCCGAATATAAAAAATGTTGATAGTTTATTTATTTAGTAGATCTTATAATAAAGTTTCGTCACAAAAGTTGATATCAGAAAGGTGCGATCGTTACTAGATTTTTAACTCGTTAAGAGGTGTTTTTGTTTGTTATCGGAAGTTTTTGTTTTATACATCAGTCATATAATTAATCTACTTTCCCAAAATCGTAGAGTTTCCGTTTCTTATATGGAACTGTAAACAGCAATTTAAATGATTCCATGACCCTAAAATAGCATTTGAATACGCACAAAATACAAAATTCAATATTGTCCAAAGTTGAGGAATCTCAAGGGCAGTTCAAAGCTTTCGAGTAAAGTATTTCAAAGTTCCTGTTTTTTTTTTAAATTTGCTCTAAACTTTTTCGCTTGGGACATTGTTTCTTATCGTTTTGGCAAATGTTTTTTTTTGCCCTTAGACACAAATTGGATACAATAACAACAGAAATAATTTCTTAAAATCGCCATAAAAATACCGAAAAAATTACATTTTAAGGGTTTTAGTTAGTTAGATTAAGTTATATACAAATAGAGTTGATAAGTTGGGAGAATAGCATTTGAATATGCACAAAATACAAAATTCAATATTGTCCAAAGTTGAGGAATCTCAAGGGCAGTTTAAAGCTTTCCAGTAAAGTATTTTAAAGTTCCTTTCTAACGACATATAGCACATTTATTTAGCCTTACAATACGTGTCGTATGTCTAAAGTTGAGGAATCTTAAGGGCAATACACTTTGGGGATAAACTAAAATCGTTAGAGCCGATTTTGAGAAATAAAAAAAAACTTAAAAGTCTGAATAAAATAAAGCTTGCCCATAATTTTTAAACGGTGGTATTTAGACATATCCTGTTAGAAAGGCGTACAAAGTATTTTAAATTACCGGTCTAACCACATTTAAGCACATATAGCACAAGACAGTAGCATCAGTAGTTCACAAGTTACGGGTGCACAAAATCTATCTATTTATAGCTGTTTTCCCGCCAAACTAGCGAGTTTTTTCAGAAGTGGTAAAACTAAAGCTTTTTGTTTTAATCTGTTTACCAACGTCTAGACTGTAAAGCCCTAAAATAACGTTTTGGGACAAACTGACAAACAAAATAAAATTTTAGTTTTGACAAGTCCGCTAAAATGTTGTTTTGCTCATAACTGTTGAACGGAGCATCGGAATTATACAAATGAGGTGTCACTTGACGCGTATTTTAAGTGAGAATACAACTAGACTAATTAACTTTCATTTATCCGCAACGGCCCCAATATGTCAAATGTTCTACATTTTAAATTTAACTGTTCTTTCTTCCAAACCAATTGATTTTTTCTAAGTCCTGGTATGCAATACTTACTTTTTGCGATACCTTTCAATTGATGTATTACTCGTAACGATCACAGTAGATTTTAATTTCTTCGTGTATATATAGTAGTCGCCTTCGCACACTCTCCTGGTGCGTTTCGTCACTACGCGGAATGCCGTCCACAGTGATAAAAATCCGACTACCATATCATATAGCTGCCATAGAAAGAATCAAAAAGTTAGTAATGGAAATAAATGGTGTAATTAATTGAATATTTATTTTAACTGCAAGGGTATATAAACTTTGGCTTGCCTAAGCTAACTTCCTTTCTTACTGTTTGAACAATCATATCACTGAAAAAGATAGGCTTTAATTTTCAAGGGTCCAAAAACTATTTTTTTCGAAAAATCGAAAAAATTAACTGAAATCGATCATTTATTCTGAAGACAGATCTTTTGTTTATAATTAGAAAAAAAAACCTTTCGGATTTATTTTCCACCCCAAAAGCAAATTCGGAAAAACACTATACTATACTATACTTAAATTCTATTTCTCGCGTTAAAAGTTTAATTTTATAAATGCACATATCGGTATTTAATTTGCATTAAAAGTACCCTTAAAACAATAAAATAAAAGAAAAACAAGGAAGAACGCTATAGTCGAGTACCTCGACTATCAGATACCCGTTACTCAGCTATATGGAGATATGCGAGCAGCAAAGCGAGATTAAAATGCGCCACCTACCGGAGGTATACAGATTTAAGCGTTATGGGCGTTAGAGTGGGCGTGGCAAATTTTTTTGGATCAATCGATAGGTATCGACGAGACCAATACATTTCAGTTAAAATTTTTTATCTAGCATGAAAATTGTGGCCGTCACAGGTTTTCGCGGTTTGTGGGCGTTAAAGTGGGCGTGGCAAGGTGAGAACAATACATTTCAGTTAAAATTTTTATTCTAGCATCAAAACTGTAGGAGCCACAGTTTTGGGCGGTTTGTGGGCGTTAGAGTGGGCGTGGCACTGTGCTGACAAACAAACTTGCGCTGCGTAAGAAGCTCAGGAATCTGCACGCCAAATCTCAATAGCCTAGCTCTCATAGTTTCCGAGATCTCAGCGTTCATCCGGACGGACAGACAGACGGACAGACGGACATGGCTAGATCGACTCGGCTAGTGATCCTGATCAAGAATATATATACTTTGTGGGGTCGGAAACGCTTCCTTCTGCCTGTTACATACTTTCCGACGAATCTAGTATACCCTTTTACTCTACGAGTAACGGGTATAATAAAATATTTAATAACAAATAAGCGGCTATGTAACATTTGGCCTAATAATTTTTTTTTATACATTGATTTTGTATTCGGTATTACGTGTGTGCTAAATAAATCGCTTAGCGCTGAAATTGGTTATATTTTATATGACTTAAAATTAAAGATTCAGTTTTTAATCATATTCTCCATAAATATGTATATATATTAATCCCAGTGCTTAAGAAGTATTAAATAATTTTGTGGTTTTTTATCTTTAAAGGTAATTGACTTTGGGTCATCCTGTTTCGAGGATCAGCGTATATACACATATATACAGTCACGCTTTTATCGCGCTCCAGAGGTAATTTTAGGGGCAAAATATGGCAGAGCCATCGACATGTGGTCGTTGGGTTGTATTTTAGCAGAGCTGCTATCGGGACACGCATTGTTTCCTGGTGAAAATGAAAGCGACCAATTGGCTTGCATTATTGAAGTCTTGGGAATGCCAAATAAAAATATATTAGCTAGCTCGAAGAGGTCAAAGTCGTTTTTCAGCCCAAAAGGGTATCCCCGGTACTGCACTGTTCGCACCATGTCTGACGGAATGGTGGTCCTAATTGGTGGACAGTCACGGCGAGGTAAGCCACGTGGCCCACCATGCTCAAAGAGTCTATCCAAAGCGCTGGATGGATGCAAAGATCCCCTATTTCTTAATTTCATACGTGGTTGCTTAGAATGGGATGCAGACAAACGACTAACTCCATCCGAGGCTTTAAAGCATCCATGGCTTCGCCGTCGCTTACCGAGACCGCCAAGTAGCTCAAGTGGCTGTGGTGGGGTGAGTGGTGTTTGTTTTAGTGGTAACCAATCCCCAGTAACAGGTAAAAGAGATTTACAGTGTTAAGGTTTGTTATATATATATATATATTTGTTTACAGGACATAATAAGAACTTGTCGACCGAAGTAACTCCAGCGTCAACGTCTGCTACATCTATTTCTTTAACTATCAAAAGAGATAGCAGCCATTCCAGTCTTCGTCTAAAATATGGTGGTGTTACGGAAGCAGACTTCAAACTTGCAAAATGCGGGCCGGAGGGTTCAGTAGGTGCAACAAAACCACCTTTGATGAACACTGATATTTTAGTAGACAGCTTCAAAAAAACTACAGTTGCGTCACCTCGCTTACCTTCAACGCACTCAGCTGACTCCGGCGGAATAAATATTCAAAGCACTGTGGACGTCGGAACATCAAAATATTATCCGCCTTCACTTTCATATTTACCGCATATGAATAATAATGAGAATAACCGTAAATTTAAAGACTACTCTATATATTGAACCCTTGAAAACTTTTATATATATTTTTTAGGATTATTAAAATTCTCCGGCTCGTTAAACAGCTCCGCAAACTCATTGACACAATTGGAACAAGTCACAAACTTAGATGTCTTGGGAGAATTCTCTGCTTCTACCACACCAAATTTACCTGCAACAGATACTGGCTATACGTTTGATTCGGGTTCAGTGGCCATAGGTATTGCACAAGAATCCTTGGTTACTCTAGCAAGCACGTATGCAATGGATAAATCTATCGACATTATTGGGAAGACAAATTTATCTCTACATTCTAATAAGATAAAATTACAGTCGAATGATATGTAGCTAATTTTTGACAATATGAAATACGCTATGTAAGAGATTAGAAGCAGTACTATATGTTGTTATCTGATTTATTGACAACGCACTGCCATACAAGTGATAAACTAAATACGTCTTGGCCCTGATTTGCATTGCTCTAGTATAGGCATGAAATCGCACATGGACAAAAGAGATCTCACAAAGTAAAATTAAAATGTATGCATTTTAATTACAAAAAGCGTAAACCCGTTATTTGAGTAAAGCTTAATAAAAATGTTAGGAAATTTTGTTTAATGTTGCAAACTTACTTTATTTCATATAAATAAAAACCCTAATACAAGATTGTATCCACATATTGAATTTTTTATTTAAACTCAGATCAAAAAATCGACCGGATTAAAAAAAAATCCAAATGCTTTCATGACGTATAATAACAATATACAAAATTTAATAAATTTTTATAAGTTTTTAGATAAAACAAGAGAAATCGCCCTAGTCGGTGGCCTCGACTATTGGATACCCGTTACTCCTCTAAAGGGAGTGCGAGAGGTCTGGAAATATGGTTCAAGATATCTGCATTTTTCACTAAAATACCAGCCTATAGCTACACCTAGCCTATAGCGCCCCTTGCGGCTCTGTAGCATGTAGATTTTTACAAAATATTAAAAAATGTGAACGCTGTTTTTATACTAGTTTCTCAGCTTTATATAGTAGCTATCGGAATAAAACTTTTCCCAAGGGCCTTCTTTGTATAGTAGGTAGTATATAAATAGGATCGGACCGGATTCCCGTTGGTAGAAACAGAAAGAACATAATTGTTTTTTATTTGGATGAGTATATCATGAAAAGTTAATGAGACAATAAAATAAATCAAATTAAAACTTCATTGATTTTGATCATATTCTCTTCTACTGTTTGGTAAATAATTATTTAAGATTTCAGAACTTGAAATTTATTTATATAAATTATTGTTTTCTATTTAGCCCCAGTCTAAATAGCCAAAGTAAGTACATGTTTGCAAATTTTGACTGTTGGACTCTCAAGTTATTACCAATACAGTGGTCAAAAATGTTTCAATTTTTTTTTTAATATTTGTTATCTGCGACCGTTGTTTATCGATAATACTCGGAAATCGGTTAAAACTGTTTAGGTAAATAAACAGAAGAATTAAATGAATAATAATTTTCAAGTACACATATACCGAAAGTGGTGTATAAAGTGAGTATATGTAATTATTACATGCAAATTTGTTTAAATAGTTCTACAAATATTTCCGATATTTCCTAAATAAACAAGGAAGAACGACTATTAAATACCTCAGCTAAAGGGACGTAAGGGAAATGGAGGTATGCAAGCAGCAAAGCGAGATTGAAATGCGCCACCTACCCGCGATGTCAGTATATGGTTATGTGAGCGATAGACAGATTTAAACGTTATGGGCGGTAGAGTGATCGTTGCAAACGTTTTTATGGATCATTCGATAGGTATTGACGGGACTAATACATTTAAGTAAAAACAAGGAAGAACGCTATAAAAAAAAATCTAGGAGCCAAAGATGCTGATGTGGCTGTTCGACTTCTTCACAAAACTTATAGAAGTCATTATTTTCAACAAGTAAAAATATTAAAAAACTAACTAAAAATTAAAAATGGAAGGAAAGCCCCAAAATCGAATCCAGAACGTCAGAGCAGATGAAATCCAAGCTTATGTTCTTTATTGCGGGATTTCACCGACAGGAACCAATTCCACAAAAGGGGCAAATTCGCAGAATAGTTGAAGTGCTGGAGGAGATCCACTAGAGAATCCCAGTGGGAAGGAACATGCCGAGTGGTACTTCAATCTCTACATGGACATCCTGCCGGGCGCGTCCTCGCAAAGAAAGTAAGATCTGGCCAAAAGAATTTGGTCGCGTTGTACTAATAGAAGTATCTTTTTTGCAGAACCACCAGTAATACGATCTCAGACGACCTATCCCTTAGGACTCCGGGCACCACCACCACCACCACCAGCTACTCGCTTCTATAGGGAGGAGGAAAATAGGGCGCCCGCTAAGGAACAGTTGGATAAGCCATAGCCAGCCACTGCCAGGATGCTGGGCGACTTCCTGCAGCATCAGTGGATCAACCCCGTTCCCAATCCGGCTCCCACTTCCTCAAGGTCTAATATGCCCATTGAGACTCGGAGCTGGACTGCGGTGGAGCGGGAAAGATGGCGGAGCATCCGTGGGACGAAAAGGAAGCTTTAAACTACTAATTTACATACATAAAAACATTCGTTGAACATTCCATTTATTTTTATTTTAATTTCTTTGTGTACCAGCAGACTCCTCCTTTTTAAAGTTAAATTTCAAACCCAACTGCTTGACAGTAAGACCATGCCACATGCATTGCGGGTGAACTTTGAAAACTTCGGTCACACTACAAAGAATACGATTTTTCGACTAGTGAAACTCTTAGCCGATCTGAGTACTAGGCTTAACCATTTTGATGAGCCTTACTAAGCATGCCCAAAAGTATGCCGTATTTTTTCAGGTTTAATGTACGTTTTGCCCGCCAAAATTTAATTTTACTTTGCCTAACATCTAAAATTACTTTTTTCATTAATTCCAGCTTCTTTTATTTCTGAAACCAAACAATCGAATGTAATATCGATATATCGAAAAGAGAAATATCAACTTTTTTGGCTCTTCACTAAAAAATGTTCACAATTTCTGTCATTCTAACTTTAAAAATGCGGAAATTGTGGATTTACTTTCCAAATATAACAATGATATATCTTTAGTTGCTGGTTTTCATGACAATTGCATTTAAGCTATAAAACTTAAAGTATGCAATCTGAGATCCGAACACCATGTTAAAGGAGTAATTTGAAAAAATCAAGTATCAATTTTAACGAACGTCATTCGAATTTGTTAAATTTATTATTCTTATTTCCAATGCCCTTAAAACATGGTCCATCCGAGAGGGGTCGTCCGAAATTAAAAGGTTCGTAAATGTCTAACCGGTCGCAGCGTCGAGAAATTTAATAATGACTCACAGAAGTTTATTGAAGCTGGGACATATGCTGCAAAGAGGTTTGGGCATAAGAATCTTAGTTCAGCATTGAAAAGCATATTCCGCATTATTTACAAACAGTGGTACCCATAAAGTAAATAAATTTTTCATCAGGAAGACTAGCCGCTAGACTATACTAAACGCTGTGATCTCGGATTCCTTCGAATGCACCCCGCCCAAAAGCCGCCCAATATCGTCCGTATGAACGCTGATATATTGGAAACTATTACTATGTTTATGCTAAACGTTTCATGATTTCTTGAAAGCGTGAAATAAAATTTGCTTCTGGTTATGCGACGCGGCCGAATTCATGTATTTTATCAATCTCAGCTGACAGAGATGCCGGATTGGTGGAAAAAGGTGTAAGCGATAATTAAACCGAAAATTTTTTTCGATTCGCATGAAATAAACTTGCTTATATTAAAGATAAGGTGTGTCGAAATAAAAGATAAAAACTAGTTTCCATTGGCACTGAATTAAAAAATAATTTGTTAAAAGTATGGTGTATTTATATCGATCTGGCAACTCCGATAATTATATAGAGTTACCGGAGATTAATTGTGCACATTTCACGCTTTCAGGTTGAATTCATAGTCAACTTTCGTATGTTGCCGAATTCACGAAATGGCGTTTATGCACACACGAATCGGGTGAAGTTGCGAAATGAAAGCTTGAGTTCGGCATCGCATAAAGAGAGTCGGGAGTAGATTCGAGAGATTCTTGCGTACATATTTTAGCAGAGGCCACACCCATTCTAACTTTTAAGATCACTTTTTTAAAGTGTAACATTTAAAATAGATTTTATTTTATTCTGCTTGTCAATATCTACCGACACTCCGAGAATTGTTAAAGTCGGGCCATTAGTTTATAAGTAATGACCTTACGACAGTGTCTAGCAAGATCATCGTCAATGAGCAACTAGATAAAACTAAAAAGTGTAAAATTTAAAGTAGATTAAAATGATAACATCGATGTTTCTTCACCTCCACTCAAAGGCATACTTGTTTAAAAATTTGTTGGCTGAGTAACAAGTATCTGAGGCACTCTACTATATTTCCCTGTTATAAATGTTGCCACATTTTGTAAAGCGCTCCTCATGACCTTAAGGCACACACGCAAGTAATTATAATTATTATTGTAAAATTCAGTCTCTCTAACTTAGTCCCCTTCTTATTTTAATTTAACTTTGTAAATTGTGACGTTAAGATCTCCATATCTTTTTTTCTCGCCATGACGACGAATCTGCTGGTGCAGGAACATGTCGAGTGGGACTTCGCTCTCTACATGGACATCCTGCCGCGCGTGTCCTCGCAAAGAAAGTTCTGGCCAAAAGAATTCGGTTACGTTGTACTAATAGAAGTATCTTTTTAGCAGAACCACCAGAACGATCTCCGGCGAGTTCTCTACTGGGGAACCCCCTCCACCAGCTACTTGGCAGCTAAAGCGGAGAAGCGGAGGGCGCTTACTAAAAGAAAGCTTGCCAGCATCCTGGCAATAAATGGTAATGTCAGTACCAGGATGCTGAGCGACCTTCTGCAGCATCAGGCGGAACAACGCCGTTCCCAATCCGGTTCCCACTTCCACGTCCAATATGCCTAATGGGACTCGGAGCTGAACTACAGATAGAGCGGGAAAGATGGCGAAGCATACGTGGGATGAGAAGAAAGCCTTAAACTACTAACTTACATAAATAAAAACATTCAATTTTTATGTGCATCAGCAGACTCTCTTTTTTTCAATTGCTCCAATTGATTTGTTTTCCGTTGGGCTACAAGCCCAGCTGCTTGACAGTACATGCATTGCGGGTGAACTTTGAAAACTTCGGTCACACTACAAGGAATATGATTTTTGGACTAGTGAACCGAAATTCACTCGCGAAATCTGATTTTTTTTTCTGGTATTTGCCTCTCGCTCACTCCTATGGTTAGCTTGCAGCTTTTGTCGATGTGATAACTAGGCTTTACTCGCATCCTTGAATTGTTTCCGAAAGTCGCTATTTATTTTACAGAATTTTTGTTAATCCGGCTGCCGGATGATCTTTTCGTTTTTGGGGAGCGCAGAAAAGTTAATTTTATAATAGTTTTTGTGGGAGCAACTCCATCAGCTGTAATCATTTTACACATGTCAAAAATAACAATTGCTCCTAAAAAATGGGCTCAGTGGGTCTAGAGTATCACATCGAGTAGTTTTTGTTTCTCTTCCATTGTTTCAAACGAACCAATTTTAATTCTAAACATTCTGATTCTAGTATGTTATTCTAAATGTTCTTTAATAAATTTTGTTTTTAATATGCAGCCACACTAATCGAATGACTAGTTTACACGTCAATTTACTTAAAGAAAATATATCGCACTCGTATTAAAAAAAATGGGACTAACAATATCTAGCCTCTTAACACGTCTATTTGGGAAAAAACAAATGCGGATTCTTATGGGTAGGTTATTAAAGTAAGATATATAATAATAAATGTCCGATTTAGTCGATGCCTTCATCCAAAAAATACAGTCATGTAAATATTGCCTTATAGTTCACGGATTTATTATTCTCTAATATTAGCAAACCATCCCCAAATCTTTACATGCTTTTATACACAGTTGGCTTGGATGCGGCTGGAAAAACTACTATATTGTACAAACTTAAGTTGGGAGAAATTGTAACCACCATCCCCACCATCGGCTTTAACGTTGAAACTGTTGAGTATAAAAATATATGTTTTACCGTTTGGGATGTCGGTGGCCAAGACAAAATTCGTCCGTTGTGGCGACACTATTTCCAAAATACGCAAGGGCTGATTTTTGTGGTGGATTCCAACGATCGTGATCGTATTAATGAAGCTGAAAAAGAACTACAAAACATGGTAATCATTTAGTTTTAAGCGTATATGTATGAGTACTTATGTGCTTTCTAATACTATATTTCATTTTCGGCATAGCTTCAGGAAGATGAGCTTAGAGATGCCGTACTGTTGGTTTTTGCTAACAAACAGGACCTACCAAACGCAATGACAGCTGCCGAGCTAACAGACAAGCTGCGTCTTAACCAATTACGGAATCGCCACGTATATATGTGTTTAAATTTGTATTTCACTAGTATTTACTTAATTTTTTTTAGTGGTTTATTCAAGCTACTTGTGCTACCCAGGGTCACGGACTCTATGAAGGACTTGATTGGCTTTCAGCTGAATTGGCTAAAAAATAATTCAAAAATATTCTTTAAAATGTAAGATAAGAATTCGTATTGTCCTATGCTGAAAACTAGACCATAAATAAACTTGTACATGTATATAAATTCGTTTTATAGTTTTTTTTTTTTTTGGGTCGCTTTTTGAACCATGTAATGTGTTCTTTAAGGAGGGGATGCTCTTTGTGTCTAAGAGGAACGCTATAGTCGACGGCCTTGACTGTAAGATACACGATACTCCGCTTAAGGGAATGCGAGCCAGATGGGCATATGCATGGAGTCGATAGGCTGTTTCTGAGACCGCACACCAAGCGTCTATTCCTTTATTTGCTTATAACTTAAAGGAATGGTCCGATTTGAACATTTTTTGGCATATATGTATATGGGTATTGATAAGCAGAACAAAGTGTCATTTACACTTTGCACCGCGATGAAAACAACTTGCTCTGCGCAGGAAGCCCAAGAATCTGCATGCTTAATCCCAACAATTTGGATGCAGATCATTTTATAACGTTACTCATTTTTTTCTTGAAAAAGTTTTTTTTAGTTCAAAAATATCAAGTAGTTTTTTTTAAAGAAAATTTGAGTGACTGTTGCACGCTACATGTTGCACGCGACAGTTTTTTCCGTTGTTTTGTAAGGTGGGTTTTCTTTAACCTTGACGTAAAATGAATGGTTCTAAACCAACTTTAACATATACCGATATGCCCATATTAGTAAGTATTGTCCTGAAAAAGTATCCAAGGACATATATTGGCTAGCTTAGTTGAGGAGCATTATTTAGAACAGATATCGGTGCAAAATCATATGTTTTGATCAAGTCTCAAGAATATTGGCTTGGTTAAAATTGACAGAGAATGTCCCTTATGTATGTACTTTATAGGGTCGGAAACGCTTCCATCTACCTAGTACATACTCTCCGACGAATCTAATATACAAATTTACTATACGACTATACCCTTGCAGAGGGTATAATGATTTCAGTCAGAAGTTTGCAACGCTAAATAATAATAATAAATGTAATATAGTTTATTTATTTTGTCGAATGTAATATCATTTTTCGTCACAATTGTTGATATCAGAAATTTTTGTTAAAGGCGCTTTCGCCACTACTTTTTACCTTGTTAAGAGGTGTTTTTGTTTGATATGTACATATGTATGTATTGTCTAAATCCGAAAGTGATTAATCCGACGCAACGGAATTTAATATATGTATGTATTTCAATTCCGTTATTTATGCGCAACAATATTCCAGTTTCCTTTTTTCCGCCATTTTGTACACTAAACAATTTAAACAATCCAAAAGTTTGCAAATCCGCAATACGAATAAAATGATATTCCAGCTATTCTATTAAACACATAAATTTTCAAATATATTTTTAATTCCAAGTATGTGCATTATTCTGCGTTAATAATTCCCGATTCTAAAATTTTTGAGTGTCAATTTTATAGGTAATGGTGAAAATGATAGGGTAATATTTATATATTTTACATTATATAACAAACTTTTGACAGCAACCGTAGTTACTTCGTTTACGATGATGGCTTTGCATGCACTCTCTAACTGACAAGCAGCTGGGTTTGTTTTGTTGACGATTTAAAAAAGACGAATCTGTTGGTGCACAAAAAAAATATACATGGAATGTTCAAAGGATATTTATGTTTATAATAGTTTAAGGCAGCGTTCGGCAGCGCCCTATTAAGTGAGCATAGGGAATTGTTCTGCCCATCCGCTGCCCCCTAACGTATAACGTAGATGTGACTTCGGCATGGGTCTTCGGTCTTTTTTCCTTAGCTTCAGCGCGCTTTTTCGCTTCTGCGGCAGAGGTTCTGCGTCGCAGGGCGACAGAAATAAGTGCAAAGCAGAGAAACGTCACGCTTCAGCGCGCTGCTCGCCAACTTCGTGTCACACTAGTGCAAGGCAAACTTGTGGTGGCATGTGTATGCCGACCGCTGGTTTGAGGCTTCCATCTCGTGTCGTGGATGCTTCGCCATCTTCTCCGCGGGAGAAGTCCCATATCGGGACTCCTTTTTCTTCCTCCCAATAGAAGCCAGCGCGTCCTCGGATCTGCCAAGTAGCTGGTGAAGGTCGAGTCCTGCGATTCTCCAATGGAGAGCTCGTCGTAGATCTTATTACTGGTGGTTCTGCTAAAAAGATACTTATATTAGTACAACGTAACCAAAATCGTTTGACCAGAACTTACTTTCCTTGCGTGGACCCGCCCGGCAGAATGTTCATGTAGGGAGAGAAGTCCCACTCGTCATGTTCCTTCCCAATGGGCTTCTCGATTGGATTATCTTCAGCACTGCCATTCTTATATCCTGTTGTGGTATTGCTTCCTGTGGGTCAATTCCCACAATAATGGGAAACTTGGAGAAGGTTTGGACAAAGAAAAAATTCAATATTTGGCTCATTCGTCTATTTTTGAACTATGTTGACGAAAAGGAATCGACCTAAAAGGCACCTTGCGCTTAACAATTATCAAACAAAAACACCTCTTAACGAGGTAAAAAGTAGTGGCGAAAGCGCTCTTAACAAAAATTTCTGATATCAACAATTGTGACGAAAAATGATATTACATTCGATAAAATAAATAAACTATATTATGATCGTTATGATCGGACATAATTGCAGATTTTCAATTCTGCGGCTATATATAGTAGTTGTCTTCGCACGCTCTCTTGCGCCCTTCGCCACTACGTGTACTGCCGTCCACAGTAATAAATGGGCTGTAACGCATTGCGAAAGTTTGTGGTCCGCGTATACGCAGCGCAAGTTTGTTTCGCGAATATGCCACACCCATTCTAACGCCCACAAACCGCCCATGCCTGTGGCGACCACAATTTTTATGCTAGATAAAAATTTTTAACTGAAATGTATTAGTCTCGTCAATACCTATCGATTGACCCAAAAAAAGTTTGCCACGCCCACAAACCTCAAAAAATCGTAAATATGAACGTGGATATCTCGGAAATTATCAAAGATAGAGAATTGCGATCTCAGACTTAGATTCCGTAGCCTTGCACGCAGCGCATTGCAAATATATATTCAATGGGTGTATTGGTGCAAACAAAATCATCTGCAGAGCTATCGAAGTAAGCATGATTTTCCCTCATGATGTCCGCAAATGAATCAGCAAAAAATATTGATGATTTGTTCTACCCATGATTTAATTGATTGTTAAAAAAAACCCCGATTGTACATAAAATAAAAGATGTTTCCATTCGGAGTTGAACTCGCACCCACATGTTCCGCAGTTATGCGACGATACCCAGTATGACAGTTTATTGCGTCTAAGTCTGGAATGAGTTTATAACTTGCAGGTCGTCCAAGTATTCAATTGTCTGATGGGTGCAATCTTTTTAGTCTTCTTCTGTTCATAGGACTGAAGGGTGGGAGTCTGTTTGAGAGACAGTCTAAGTGATAGATGTACATTTTACAAACAGGATTCAGTTTGAGATTTCGAAAAATGGTAGTGTTTCTTGTATGTTTATCATATGTCTTAAAATATTGGCTTGAAAGGATTCAATTACAGGGTTGCCCATATTCGACGGACCCATCTGACGACGCCATAACTTTTGACAGAGATGCCAGATCGCTTAATGACATACCGCGTTTGAAGCGTCAGTCAAAGCAGATTTTTACCATGGAACAATACACGCCACGCGAGCGCTCTGAAATAGTTGAAATTTACATTCAACAGAACAAGTCAATTGTGAAAACTCAACGTGCTTTTAAAAAATTAAAAAATGTGAAAAGTGCGCCTTCTAAGAACACCATTAAGCGTTTATACGAAAAATTTACGACTGGTGAGGCTCTTTCTAATCCGAAGAGGCCAAATAATAGTCGACCAAGGCGATCGGACGAGAATATCGCTGCCGTACGAGCCAGTCTTGAGATGTCCCCAAGAACATCCCAAAAACGCCGTTCTCAGCAGTTGGGCATGGCTCAGTCCACTTTACAACGGATTATTCGCGTTGATTTGCATTTGTTCCCGTACAAAATTCAATTGACGCAAAGATTGTCGCTTACGGACAAGCCTCGTCGATTGGAATGGGCCCAAAGAGTCATCGAAATGGCCGAAGATGACGATCAATTTTGGAACAAAATTATCATGTCCGATGAAGCCCATTTCACATTGAATGGGACCGTAAATAAGCAAAATTGCCTTATTTACGCCACTGAAAATCCTGAGAAGATTCAAGAAGTGCCTCTTCACGACGAAAAAGTCACAGTTTGGTGCGGCGTTAGTTCGAAAACGGTCATTGGGCCGTTTTTCTTCCAAAATGAAAATGGCCATGCTGTTACCATCAACCAGGAGCGTTATCGCGACATGATGACCAATTCTGTGATGCCAATTATTCGTCGAAAGCGTATGAGGCAGTTCTGGTTTCAACAAGACGGCGCTCAACCGCACACAAGTCGCATAACAATCGATTTTCTGAAGAAATTGTTTCCGGGCCGCTTGATGTCGAAAAGTGGTGATTTGGACTGGCCACCGCGTTCGCCCGATTTGACGCCGCCTGACTTCTTCTTGTGGGGATATTTGAAGTCAAAGGTTTACGTTAACAAGCCAAGGACCCTAGAAGAGCTCAAGGACAACATTCGTGAAGAAATAGCCGCTATTCCGGCCGAAATGTTGGCGAAAACGATGGAAAATGCTGCAAAAAGGGCACAATACGCCATCAACGCCAGAGGCGGCCATTTGAAAGATATCATATTCAAAAATTGATGTAAACAAATCTACTTGGAACAAATTAAATGATTAAGATTGCCAACCGCCAAATTTTTATTTTTTTCTTTGATTTAAAAAAAAAAAACATGGGTCCGTCGAATATGGGCAACCCTGTATTTTTATTGACGTGTTACAGGCTGTGCATCTATGCATTTTAATTCAATCTTCAGTAAAGATCTTTAACATAAAAATGACGTACTCTTCTAATTTTGCATATGTATACCATTTAATATGGTGATACTATCAAAAAACATTTATAAAAAACTTAACAAAAAAATCAATAAAAAAAGTAAAAGACTCGAACCTGCGTCATATCGATTTCTAACCAAACGCAGACGGTTACTGCGCTATGGATGCAGCAGTCCGGCCGATGACAAATTCTGAAATTAAATATTTCGGTACGACAGATCATGCAAAAACAAATATTTAAATTTTTCAGAAAATTGTTCTGTTTTTTAGAGAACCCTCTACGATTTATGAAAAATTTCCTTCCTTTTCGATTTTATATAATTTAGGGTTAATTATACCCGTTACTCGTAGAGTAAAAGGGTATAATAGATTCGTCGGAAAGTATGTAACAGGCAAAAGGAAGCGTTTCCGACCCCACTAGGATCACTAGGGTCACCGAGTCGATCTAGCCATGTCCGTCTGTTCGTCCGGATGAACGCTGATATCTCTGAAACTATAAGAACTAGGCGCAAGTTTGTTTCAGCGGCGTGCCACGCCCGCTCTAACGCCCACAAGCCGCCCAAACCTGTGGCGCCCACAATTTTCATGCGTGATAACAAATTTTAACTAAAATGTGTTAGTCTTGCCATTTTAACTGAAATGTGTTAGTCTTGCCAATACCTATCGATTGATCTAAAAAAAGTTGCCACACCTACTATATTTATATTGCGGGTAGGTGGCGCATTTCAATCTAGCTTTGCTGATTACATATCTCCATTTCCCGTTGGTCCCTTTAGCTGAGTAAGGGGTATCTGATAGTCGAGGTACTCGACTATAGCGTTCTTTCTGGTTTTATCTTGAATGAAGCTTTACAAACACGTTAACACTTATTTAAGGCTCCTGTTCTTTATAAATATAATTTATTTTGAAGAACTTGAGTAGTTAGCTCCGTCTAAAATAAAAGGACATGCAAAATATGGAAACATATTTTAATGTTACCTGCGATTTTAATGTAAAACAAGAGAGAACGCCATAGTCGATATCATCGACTATCAAATGCCCGTTAGGGCAGGGGAGAGCGAGGGAGATGGAGATATGTAAGCAGTAAAGCGTCTGTTTCCGAGATTGCATACTTTTCTTGCTTATAACTTTATAATGATTTGATTTGATTTTGGCATGTAAATGCATATTGATAATTAAAACAATATACCTATACCTCTTTTCCAAAATCTTGAAAAATTAAGCGCTAGACAGGCTTTAGCGTTATCTGCGTTTGTGAGCGTGGCACCCTGCTGATAAAGTAAAGCGCTGATAAATAAACTAGCGCTGCGCAAGAAGCTTAAGAATCTACATGCCAAGTCCCAACTATTTAGCTTTTATAGTTTCTCAGCGCTCATACGGATGGATAGACTTTGAACCTTCTGCTGCACAGAGAAAAGAAAATACCAAAACTGATCATCAATCGGGTATATTAATATTTTCGAACATATGAAATTGATATTTTCGAACATGTCAATTTGGTATTTTTCATACCAGATTGATATACGCACATAGCAAAGTTGTGACCAAATTGTGGTATGCTTTCATATCAAACTGATATGCTTTCATATCAAACTGATATGCTTTCATATCAAACTGATATACTTTCATATCAGATTGATATGTTTGTAATATCAATTTTAATCAGTTTTGCTTTTACTTTTTTTGCATCTTATAAACAAATAAATATTGAAAACCCATAAGATCGCTGTAAATATTTATTTTTTATATATTTCGGATCAATTCTAAAAATAATTCCAGGACTTAGCAATAAATGACCGATCACGCTGTACTCGGATGCCTCCTGTAGCTTTGCATCAGCGCCAGGAAATCCTTCTTCTGTCCTGGATAGAAACTTCCCAGCGAAGTGGTGGACGCCAACTTGCCCAATTCGGCATTGTGGCCAGCCATTTGACTTTGTGTAGTGCAGTGTGTGTAGTCAGCCACCGAAACGCACGTTACAGTGTCCAAGAAATAAATATATTAGAATTAGACATTTGCAAAAAAAAATAAACAACATACGTAAATGTTTCACTTTTGTACTATTTTACTTTTCGTCAAATGTTAGAGTGTCCGCGGCAATTCAGTCAAAACAAGGAAGAACGCTATAGTCGAGTACCTCGACTATCAGATACCCGTTACTCAAAGGGAAATGGAGATATGCAAGCAGCAAAGCGAGATTAAAATGCGCCACCTACCGGCGGTAGACAGATTTAAGCGTTATGGGCGTTAGAGTGGGCGTGGCAAATTTATTTTTGGATCAATCGATAGGTATTGACGACACCAATACATTTCATTTACAACTTTGTATCTAGCATAAAAATTGTGGGCGTCACAGGTTTTCGCGGTTTGTGGGCGTTAAAGTGGGCGTGGCAAACTTTTTTTTGGGTCAATCGATAGGTATTGATGAGAACATAACATTTCAGTTAAAATTTTTATTTTAGCATCAAAACTGTAGGAGCCACAGTTTTGGGAGATTTGTGGGCGTTAGAGTGGGCGTGGCACTCTACTGAAACAAACTTGCGCTGCGCAGGAATCTCAGGAATCTGCGTGCCTAATCCCAGTATTGTAACTCTCATAGTTTCCGAGATCTC